TACACAAAAAGTTTTGACCAAGAGAAAGAGAATGCCTTCACTGTACCTGAAATAACAGGGTCAAATGAATGGGGAACAGACTATATTCAATAGTTTAACTCTCTTTGACGATTATTATGAAGAAGAAAATTTAATGTCATGTTTTTTTTGTGTTCGCGCTTTTTCGCTTCCTGTGTAAATATATATAATTTTACAAGTAAATGCAACAATTGATCATCTTAATTGTGTTACTAAGCACGAGGGGGAACGACCGAGTATAAAAATTCAAATAGGTTAGAACTGAGAAGGAGGGTAGATTTCACTTTTTATTTTAATTAAAAAAATTAATTATATGCAGTAAACCGGTGTCCACAACTATACAGTAAATAAATTTAACATTGGTGCTAAATTTTAAAACCACTGGATTCTACTGAGAGCAAAGAAACACTTGGGAAATGCAAAAAACTGCCTTGCGTGTAAACAGTTAGATACCCCTAGCCTGCTCTAAACAAGTTTCAGCAGTGAGTTATCGTTCATAACACCGACCCCTAGCGGCAGTTGAAAGGCCTATACTTCCATGTGCACATAAGTTTCAGCTTTTCTGGCCCAGTGGTTCTTGAGAAGAAGATTTTCAAAGATTTTTTCTAAATATTTCTATGTAAAACTTTGATTCCCCATTGTGGCCCTGCCCCTCCCCCGGGGGTCATGATTTGAACAATTTAAAATCTGCACTACCCAAGGATGCTTCCACATAAGTTTCAGCTATTCTGGCTCAGTGGCTCTTGAGAAGAAGATTTTCCAAGATTTTTTCTAAATATTTCTATGTAAAACTTTGATTCCCCATTGTGGCCCCGTCCTTCCCCTGGAGGTCATGATTTGAACAATTTAGAATCTACACTACTCCAGGATGCTTCCACATAAGTTTCAGCTTTTCTGGCCCAGTGGTTCTTGAGAAGAAGATTTTCCAAGATTTTTCCTATATATTTCTATGTAAAACTTTGATTCCCCATTGTGGCCCCGCCCTTCCCCCGGGGGTCATGATTTGAACAATTAAGAATCTACACTATACCAGGATGCTTCCACATAAGTTTCAGCTTTTCTGGCCCAGTGGTTCTTGAGAAGGAGATTTTTTGATGACCCCTACCTATTTTTATCTTTTCTTGATTATCTCCTCTTGTGAATTTTAAATTTAAACAATTTAAACTCCCCTTCACCCAAGGATGCTTTGTACCAAGTTTGATTAAAATTGGCCCAGTGGTTCTTGAGAAGAAGTCGAAAATGTGAAAAGTTTACAGACGGACAGACAGACGGACAGACGGACGGACGGACGGACGGACGGACAGACGGACGGACGATGGACAAAATGTGATCAGAAAAGCTCACTTGAGCCTTCGGCTCAGGTGAGCTAACAACGTGTGTACTTTTCCAGTCGGTAATACACATACCGTATGATCCCTATTAACCACCCCTGCCCCCATAAGCGCCCCATAGGTCTTTTTTCAATTATTAGAAAACCAGGGCCCCCTCTACAGTGATTAAAATCCTCTAGAATCGTATCAAAAGGCTGCCAAAATTTGAACAAAGTGAAAATGTAACTTGTCTATTATCCAATTTCTCAGTGGAAAATGAATCATATCGCATAAATTGGGTGGATTATCCTCACTTAAAGTAAAGTTCGACATTATTTTAGCTGTTCTTTAAAATTTTTGAAGTATAAGAATGACATCAAATATTAATATGAAGAGAATACCAAAATAACCGCCTCCTTTTCGAAATTTTCTAAGCGCCCGGGGCGGTTAATAGGGATTATACGGTATTAGATTTTTATAACAGAGTTTGTCATTGCTTGACGCAAGGTCATTTAGAAAGTTCAAGTTCACATACATTCCTTTACAGCATTTTTCATGGCGAAACATTGCTTGACGCAAGGTCATTTAGAAAGTTCAAGGTCACATACATTCCTTTACAGTGTTTTTCATGGTGAAACATTGTAAGTTTCTTCCTTTAAAAGCCTTTAGGTTGCTTACTTGAATAACTTTAAATGTGGCTTGACCTAGACTCAAGAATACGTCTTCCTATCCGTAGCTCCAACGGAAGACCTATTCGTTGCTTTGCAACGAGCTCGGCTCTAGTTTTTATTTATATTTGTTGTTGTTTGAATATGATGTCAATTGTTATAATTGTTATATAATATGTTTAAAAAGTTTTGTTATAAAATATGTAATGAATTTTTATCATTAACATGACAAATTAATGAAAATACACTTACCTTTGACATCACTGACTTCTTTTCCTTTCAATGGCTTGACATAGTTCCCATTCGAGGACGAATGCCTATTAGGAAGGGGGGCAGTGTTACGATTTATGATTTCATATTTAATAGTTTAATGTCATTTGTTTCTATCGACATGTTGTCAATCCGAGTTTCCTCCATGAGTGTGGAACGTAAGACGACACATAATCTTATACGAAAGATTGACACACATACAGGCAGTTCCCTAAATCGTAACTTATGTAAATAACCTACTTTTTATGTTATTCCGACATTGTAAACCCTAGTATGATCCTCCAACTGACATAACTCCAATTCCCGCGAATCTCGCATTGTTTTTAAATACATCGAGATCGCTTAGCACAATAAACTTCCGGTGCAGGTCTAATTGCGGGAAAGGGGAGCGGATCGTACGTCATTTCACTAGCAACGTAATACGATATAAACAGCTGTTAGCTGTCATCTGCAGCACTCTGCTCATTGCCTCATATTGACGAGGACAGAAAAAGCTATTGGGAAATGGAAACCCAGAGTAGATGGGTAATTAATTAATTAATTAGATTAATTTTTTAATATTGGGAACTGATGCCTGTGGTTATTTATTTTAAATAGTTTATTATTGAAAAGAAATATTTTTAGGGTATTCCCACATGTGGGAAAAACTTTATATGGGATATTAAAATCCCATTCATATTGATTTATTGCTTTTATAATTTATTACCGCTCAATAACTCATCCTTGACAAATTAATTGATTTTAATAAAGTTTTTATATAGAAAGTTATTTGGTATTATAATTTCTATCTGATATACAGACTTGGGAGACCCACAGTTGCGTTTACCCAAAACATAGTAAAAAGGGTCGAAAACGTAACATTAACATAATTTATCTTGCGTGTAAGGGGCAGAAATATGCCACCATGATAAATAAATCGAATGTTTGCATAATTTTCTTGCATGTTGACATGAATAAGTCGCCTCTCTACACCATTATGTTGCATCTTGCATCTAGTATGTCAGAGATAAAAAGTTATAACACTTTGTATGTTGATAAGACGATAAAATATAGGACAACATACAATGTCATTACACAACAAGTGAAGAGCCATTTACGCTTCCGTACGTTAGTAAGTAGATTTAACCATATTTAGATTATATTTTAAAATTTGTAACTTGCACGTCAACATAACGCAGCACAGTTAAGGTTACAAATGGAAATATCGGCGATTTTTTAAGATAAAAAAATACATACTTTATTAGGATGGGCGATTCTTTTTAGGACTTCACTGATATCAAAAAAATGTAATGTGGTTTAAATCTACATGTTGGGGACATTTATAATTTTTATTTAGACTTGTCATGTGATGACTTTAAAAATAGCAATTATACTTGCAGTTTAGAGGTCATCTATAAATTTCATTATTGCAAGGGCATAACCAAGTTAAAAATCTTAGTTTAATTTATAATCCTTTTCAACACTTTATGTAGTTTGTGAAAAGTGCTGCGAACCTATATATATTCCCTTTTTTAATTGCTAAAATTTAATTTGTTGGACGGCATTTTAAATATTTTGCTGGTCAACTACATTAAATATAGCTATAATTAATTTATTTGCAAGATTTCAAGAGGTTCGCAGCACTTTTCAAATATCTTATTGCTTCTTGAGTTTATATGTAAAATCTTGACAAGATACATTGAGGGTATGCCCTTGCAATAAATCGATTTATTAGGACCCTTTCATTACTTTTTCAATGAATCTGCAAACAAACACACGATAGTGTCGCTTTTTTTGGAGAATGTACGTACAATTTATAAATAAGATACTAAAATAGACATCGCATCCAAGTTAACGACTTTTTATTTAACTGCAAATACTATTTTATTTGAGAACAAAAGACATTTTTCATTGTACAAAATGTGACTTGATCAGCCTCTCACTGTGTACAAACTGCGTCATTTTTGCAAAATGACGTCACATTGACAAGTGCATTGCGATTGATGCATCGTTTATATACTGTTGTGTGGTATTTAACAAACGATAAAACTGCATGTAATAGTAAGTTTGTATGTAGTATACAGCTATCCAGTTGTTTAAAATTGCAAATAATTTCATTTTGTGGTATTTTGAAGACCTTATATTATGTGTGACGTCATAGTAAACATTTCCCGCACAAATTAAGGCCCGCCTCCTTACTGTTACCTTAACTGTGCTGCGAATATGCATGTTGACATAAATGTGTTGCATGTCTACATAATTATGTTTGATGTTATTATAACTTATCTTAGAAATATGCCACAATATGAATGTATTTAAGAGTATATATCTCATAGTCATCTTGGTGAATGTTTTACTTCCCTAAAAGTCACTTAATCACACATACACTGTACAAATTTAATCAGTAAGGCCCCTCATAAGATGTCGATCGACAAATTTAAAATCTAAATTGAAATTCAAGTACTTGTCCTGTGATAATGAAATGAATTTAGCACCATATCAATTCTGTGTAAGGAATGATGACCTTTGTATGGGTGTTGAATCATAATGTCTTTAATGGCATAGCTAAGATTTTTCTGATTATTAAGAATGTCGAGTTTAATCAGGTTCTTGATGACTCAGTACAAATTCAAAAATAAACGGATGATGTCAAGTACATGTAAACGTAGATTTCTCGTGATTTTTAACTTATATACAGTTTATCCAATAATTTGTTCCGCATAGTTTCGATGTGAGTTTGAGTCATACAGAGTACGGGCTTTCCTTTAAATCACGAACAATGGTTCTTATTACATAAAATGAAAGTAGATATGATGGGATTTTTTCAGATTATTTAAAACACCAAAAATCAGATCTTATCATCAGTGAATATGGACTCCATGGGAACTTCACGAATGTAAGTTGTAAAATTCAGTACATTTACATTGAAAGTTTTAACATTATATCACATTAGTGTTTCCCCCATTTTTTCCTTGCAAAAAAGTTATAATTTGGGAACAAATGAAGAATATTAGAAGATTTATTTATATACATGTGATACAAAAAACTAATGTTTCTCTCCATTAGTGTCTTTGAAAAATTAATAAAATTTTAAGAAAAATTGGTTCATATTAGACTTTGCTTTTGTTAAATAGTACACAACTTTTAAACAGAAAAAAATTAATGCCTCGTTTAAAGTCACCATTTCGTAAGCTCTACGGTCGATAGAATGACCTTGTCAGCAAATACAGTTTATCATGAAGTCAAATGCTGACTGACGTTTTCATAGTAATTGTTAGTACATTATTTATACATTAAATTGACGACTGATATTGTTCGTTATTTTCCGAACATGACAAGGAGAACACGGTGGAACAAGATGCTTGAGTTTCTGATTGACAATATCTATGTGGTTTTCGGAGACCAGGTATTCCAACAATCTATTGGAATTCCCATGGGTACAAATTGCGCTCCGTTATTAGCAGACTTATTTTTATATTCATATAAAGCAGAATTTATACAAAATCTTATGCGTGAAAAGAAGAAAACACTTGCTGTGGCCTTCAACTCGACATTTAGATATATCGACGACGTATTGTCAATTAATAATGATAATTTCCATTCCTACGTCGATACGATATATCCTGGTGAGCTTGAGATAAAAGATACCACAGAGTCCGACACTTCTGCTTCATACTTGGATATTTTACTTGAAAAAGACACTAATGGTAATCAAACAACCAAGCTATATGATAAACATGATGACTTTAAGTTTTCTATCGTCAACGTCCCTTACTTATGCAGCAATATACCTTCATCACCTGCATACGGAGTATATATATCTCAGTTGATTCGATACGCAAGAGCGTGCTCTACGTATGAACAATTTCTTAAACGAGGTAAATTATTGACAAGCAAGTTGATGAAACAAGAATATCAACAGTCTCGTTTAAGGTCATCATTTCGTAAATTCCATGGTCGATACAATGACCTTGTCAGCAAATACAATTTATCATTGAGTCATATGCTGACTGACGTTTTTCATACCAATTGTTAGTCCATTATTTATACACTGAATTGACGACGGATTTTTTCCGTTATTTCCTGATCATGACAACGAGCACACGGCGGGTGTGACCGGTCGGCAGGGGATGCTCACTCCTCCATGGCACCTGATCCCACCTCTGATGTTTCAGAGGTCCGTGTTTGCTCTGCTCTTATTTTGTATATTGTTTAATGGACGTTGAGATTGAATACTGTTCGTTATCTCCATATCCTTCTTGTGACCGGTCAGCAGGGGATGTTCACTCCTCCATGGCACCTGATCCCACCTATGATGTTTCGGAGGTCTGTGTTTGCTGTGTTCCTATTTTGTATTGTTTTATCTCAACATTTGGATACATCGACGACATATTGTTAATTTACAATGGTAATTTCCATTCCTATGTCGTATGTCAATAGGAATATCTTGCTGACCTTTAGAAAAAAGATACCTCAGAGTATGACACATCTGTTTCATATAAGGATATTCCAATTGAAAAAGACGTTAATGGAAAACCAACAATCAAGCTTTATGACAAACGTGATTACTTTCATTTTTCTATCGTCAACTTCCCTTACTCATGCAGCAATATACCTTCATACCTACATATAAACAATTTCTAAAACGAGGTAGAATATTGACAAGCAAGGTGATGAAACAAGAATATCAACAGTCTCGTTAAAAGTCATTTCGTAAGTTCTTTGGTCGATACAATGACCTTGTCAGCAAATACAATTTATCATTGAGTCAAATGCTGATTGACGTTTTTCATACTTATTATTTGTCCATTATTTATACACTGAATTGACGACGGATTTTTCCTGTTATTTCCCGATCATAACAACGAGCACACGGCGGGTGTGACCGGTCAACAGGGGATGTTCACTCCTCCATGGCACCTGATCCCAACTCTGATGATTGGGAGGTCCGTGCTCTGATCCTTTTTGTATTGTTTTATGGACTTCGATAATGAATACTGTTCGTTATCACCATATCCTTCGTTAAGTACAGTTAGTTATCTCTATATCCTTTACTGCCATTCAAGCTTATTGAAACACGCTCAGTAATTGTAATCCATTCCAACTTCAAAATATTGAAGCTTGATCATTTATTCATCATTGTTTAGAAAATAGATTTTTAACAACATCGCTAACCTAAGCACTTTACTTAGGAAAAAGCAGATATCAGTTTAATATTGAACGTTTTAATATAAAAGTAGTCCGGGATATGATCTGAACAAACTTGAATCTACACTACCTTAGGATGCTTCCATATTTGTTGACTATTCATTAATTAAGTAGACTTTAAAAAGATTTTTTTTTCACGTGTGATCTTTTATTGTAACCCGGGGGTATGAAATGAACAGACATGTATATACATGTATTTACACTCTCTGTTGAGGCTCCTGAATTAATATGACTAATCATGGCTTTGCTGTTTATGAGAAGAAAAGTGTTATATATTATATGCAAATTTATTCAGACTGATTGAGGCCAGTTGAAAACAGCCCAATAACTGTATAAGGCATATAACATGCAAAAATAGTACCTGAAGGAGTCAGATAGCTACTCAGTAGGAGTTCAATTACCAGTTGTTTTTTTTTTTACTTGAAACTATCTAATGAGTAGAGAAAAGGGAAAATCTTTTTTTCTTTAGACAGTGTTTCATTTAATTTATTCAATGGGAGTTGTTTAGCTCAGCATGAAAGATTGGACATTCGTCAAGTGGTGAAGAAATCTTTCTTGACTTCAAAATTTTTGAAATAAAGTATGTGCATGTGACATTGATATACAAACACAGTGGTGGGTGATAGCATTACCATGTAAAGTAAAAATACAGTGCTGTATCGAACACAGCGAAAATCTTTTGAATATGTTATAGTTGAGGCAGGATTAACTCGATTTTTATCGCCAAGGATTTGCAGCTTTGTAGCAACTTCATATCCTTGCATTTTCTCATTCTTAATCTTTTAAATAATTTCTTTTAATTTCTGGACCTATTTGTGGATTTGATTTCACTCTATAATTCGCTTTTTAGCTCATCTGAGCTTTTCTGATCACCCATTGTTCGTCGTCCGTGTGTTAACTTTTCACATTTTAAACTTCTTCTCAAGAACGATTGGGCCAATTTTAACGATACTTGGTACAAAGCATCCTTGGGTGAAGGGAATTTACATTGTTATAATATTGGGCCAGGTCCCCTTCCAAGGGGAGATTATCAAGAAAGTACGAAAATAGGGTTGGGTCATAAAAAAATCTTCTGATGAAGAACCACAGGACCAGAAAAGCTGAAATTTAAGTGGAAGCATCCATGGGTAGTGTAGATTTTAAATTGTAAAAATTATAACCCGGGACCACAATAGGGAATCCAAGTTTTACATAGAAATATACAAGAACAATCTTTAAAAATCTTCTTCTCAAGAACCAGTAGGCCAGAAAAGCTTAAACTTATGTGGAAGCATTCTAAGGTCATGTAGATTTTAAATTGTAAAATTATGAACCCGGGGGTAGGGCGGGGCCACAATAGGGAATCCAAGTTTTACATAGAAATATATAGGAACAACCTCTCAAGAACCAGTAGGCCAGGAATGCTGAAACTTATGTGGAAGCATCCTAGGGTATTATAAATTCTAAATTGTGAAATTCATGACCCCCGAGGGTAGAGCGGGGCCACAATAGGGAATCCAAGTTTAACATAGAAATATATAGGAACAATCGTTAAAAATCTTCTTCTCAAGAACCAGAAGGCCAGAAAAGCTTAAACTTATGTGGAAGCATTCTAAGGTAATGTAGATTTTAAATTGTAAAATTATGACCCCCGTGGGTAGGGCGGGGCCACAATAGGGGATCCAAGTTTTACATAAAAATATATAGGAACAATCATTAAAAATCTTCTTCTCGAGAACCAGTGGGCCAGAAAAGCTGAAACTTATGTGGAAGCATCTAGGGGTAGCGTAGATTCTAAGTTGTGAAAACCATGACCCCGAGGGTAGCGCGGAGCAACAATAGGGAATCCAAGTTTTATATAGAAATATATTGCAAAAAATTTTCTTCTCAAGCACAAGTGGGCCAGGAATGCTAAAACCTATGTCAAAGTATCCTGGGATAGTGTAGATTCTAAATTATTAAAATCAAGATGGGGGAGGGGGTAGGGAAATCTGGGAAAGAACTGTAAAGAACAGGTGAGCGATGTGGCCCAAGGACCTCTTGTTTAATAACTGTTTCATTTTGTTTCACTGCCGTCGAATACTAGTGATATATTATTAGCCTGGCAATTATTTTTTTTCGGACTACTACTGCTAGGACATTTTTAGTCCCCTACCTGTGAAATTTTTAAGGACCTTTTTCCGCAAATGATGGTGTCTTCATATGAATGAAAAATTCTCGAGAGGGATGTTAACAACATACAAACAAACAAAAACAACTTCATGACCTCATGCATATTACTTGTTAATGTGTTTATATCATTACAGTGAGACAGCCATACAACGTATATCGGAGTCGGTATTCGTTGGACTGTGTAATATAGCCGGAACTTCACAAATGGTTGCTATGAGGAGGGATATGATGGAAATCAATGATATTTTGAATTGTAAACCCACAGACAGTAGAGGGTACACTTTGATGTTGAGTGGAAGTAAAAAAGAAGGATTCAGGTTGAAGGGATCAGATATAGACATTATGATGTGGCCAAATAATCATCGTGTGATCTCGAAATTGTCTCAATTTCAGTATTACAACATAAACAGACAAACACTAATTCTAAGTGACTGCTCCAATAGTCCACCAGGATTTACTTTGTTATATTTAATTAATCCAAGCACGCATGGATTGATCCGAAAAGCTTGTGTTAAAATGAATGAGAGACAGTGTGTATCTAGTTCTAAATACAGACAGGTTTGGTGTTCTATTTCACCTGGCTTCACTCAACATGGACCTTGTATCTATCAAGAAGATTCTGATTTTGATCAAGCTATCTCTCTTTATAGTGACTTTTGGCCCCCATCTGCCTCCTCATGGATAGACAGATGTCACTCATGGCCCCAGCCTCATGTTGTTGATGATATAGTAAAAAATGGATGTCACTTTGTAGCAATCGGACATAAGCTAGGTAGACATGAAAACCATGAATGGAGAATTTCTTTCTCCCTGGCAGAACAAAAACTTGTGTATGCAATGAACCACAGTCAAGCCTTAACTTTTATCTTGCTCAAGTTGTTCATAAAAGAAATAATTAATAATGAAATAGCTGATGATGACAAATTATTGTGTTCCTATCACATGAAGACAGCAGTTTTCTGGGTGATTCAACAAAATATAATACCTCACTGCTGTCCACAAAATCTCCTGGAAGGTTTCTGGGTCTGTTTTAAACTCCTTCTCAAATGGGTATATGAGGGGGTTTGTCCTAACTTTTTTATCCCAGAAAACAACATGTTTTTGACTAAAATATATGGTGAAGCACAAAACCAATTATTTATGAGACTGTTTGGGTTGTATGAGAAGGGTTTAGCATCGCTGCTACACAGTCCTTCTATTAGCCCTTTTATTATTAATGTCCTTTTTAACCCTAGACTCTCCATCTGTACAAATGAACATACTCTGATTTCTGAAACTATGTTTGATTTAAAAGTATTTGAAGAATTATACGCTAAAAACACACCATTCATACAAAATCTACAAAGGAGTTTTATGTATCTACACAAAATAGAATATATGATAAATTTACCACTCCTGACACAGAGTTAAGTCCCTGTGATACAGAAACATACAGTTGCTTTACTTCAGCAAACTGCTTTTGTATTACAGATGGAAACTGACACTCAAAGAAACAAAGTAAGGTACAGAACTGACAAAATCTCTTGTCACATGCTGAAATTAGCATCCAAGTTTGGTTGTATTACTGACATGCTGTTTATAGTCATGTATTATTACAAAACACTTAGGTACGTGGAAGCTTTAAATATTATAGCGAATATAAAGATCAAGTTAAAACAGCCTTATGTAATGAACAGATTCATTGTAGATGAAGAGAAGTATACTGAGGCTTTAGGGGGACAGTCCTTGTCTACCAAGATGAGACGGGCTGTAGCAACGGATATCCTATATGGCTACACAACTCCATACATCCAAGAATTGATACTAGAACAGGAGACATCCTCAGAGAAAATAGTAGCATTATATATTCCATCTTTGGTAATGTTATACATGCTAGAAATCTTGTGCTACAGACATGTAGACACAATGGCAGCACAAAGAGCTCTAGATGATCTACAGACCCTAGTTCACTCTGATCCAGGACTACTTATAGATCCAAGTCTCAGAGATATATCCTGGCAGATCCTAGGTATTTGTCAACATGTGACAGGTCACTATCAGGATTCTTTAGACTCGTTCGAAGAATCTCTTGCACAAAAAAATGAAAATGAAATTCATACAGCTACAGAAGTGAGAATTGATACCTGGAATTCGCCCGAATTCTTCTGATGGAATTTATCATCTATATATCTACCCTCATTTCTCTTTTACGACTTACATTCAAGCTCCATATATTTCTACAACAAATACTCGAATTTGATTGGATTATGATAAAGCAATGTAAAAAAGTCGGAAAAACCCGGGAATGCAATGATTAGCCCCCGTATCCTCTAACAGAATCAAAGCACGTGTAATAAAAGATCCCTCTTTAATAATAAATTGTTGAAACCTCCACCTAAATTTAATTTTTCGTATAGTGTAAATAATTAAATAAATTTAAGTTTACTGAAATTTTTTTATTGTAATCAATAAGTGTCCTCCTTGAATGTGAAAGTCTGAAATATTGTATAACTGTGCTTTGTAATGGTAATTACGGTTCCATGTCTTACCGGGGTAGGAGAGGCAGAGATTGACCAATCAAAATCTGGCCAATCAAAATATAACAAATGAAATTCTGACCACTCGGTGTGTTACTCTGCCTTTTTTTCCATCTATATCCTTGCAGGACGGACGTTTTTTCTCCGCCATTTTTGTTTGTTGTTTAAATTTATGTTTTAGCGTTTTCAGACCCAATTTTTTATGATTTTTCTGTTAAATCTAAGTGGTAATAACTGTAAATTTGGATTACCTTTCTTTACAAAATTTGTTTTATTTCTCATTTTGATATCTTGTGTCTGCTAAATGTTATATGTCATTGTTAATAATACTTTTGAGAATTTCAAACAAATTATTAAACGTCACAAAGGTGGCAACACACGACAAACTGTTTTTCTCATTGAAGGATAAGATAAGGTGTTCTACCGTTGAAAGGATTATGGGAAGAAATTATCCAGTTGATTGGTAACCGGGGTATCAAAATACTTATTGCATTAAAATAAAAACAGATAATGAGATGTATGTAGTATGTTTAAATAGTCAATAAAGATTATGATTCGTGTGACATGAATTTACTGGTTTTTTTTAAAAAATATGTATGTGAGGGTGTATGTTAGAGAGGGAGTGTGTGTTTGTGTGTGGGTGTGCGAGAGAGGGTATGTGTGTGTTTATAGAATAGAAATGTTGTCATAGTCAAGTTAAAACAAACAAGGGTTTGGTTTATTTTCCAATAAAAGTTGGGGCTAATTCTAATTTGCATCATCAATTATTTTTTTTTATGACAACAGTAAAGCATTTTCTGACAATTAAGTTTGCTCTTGACATCAAGCTGATTGGCACGTGCATAAGATTTAGAAAAAGGATAGATTTGTTTTTTTTTTTTAAATCTTAGGCTCTTTATGTGAAAAATATAACGATTTAAAAATGAATATTGATAAATATCAGATCACCATGACTTTTAAATTCAACTGTTTTAATTCAGAAATTAAACCTTCTACAGCCTAAAGATGAACAACATGACGATGTACGATGAACTTGCAATTTCTGGTGTTCATGATATTTTGTTTAAGAGGTTTGTTCCCGTGCTTTTGAGAAAAATTCTGTCTTGGCCTCTGGTTAAAAAATGTGCATGAAACATGTGGAGATAACGAACAGTATTCAAAACCAAATGTCCATAAATCAATTGTTAATGTTTACATTTTACGGAATGTGTTTAATTTGTGTACTCTTCACACAGCACAGAGTATGGACTGACAAACAAGTGAGTTGATTTTTTGATTTTGTTTTCTCACATTTTTTTTTTGAATTTTCTGGATTATAGTTTTGATACTTTTCATTAATACACATCAAAATTCTACTTTTTTCAAGTAAAATAATTTTAGATAACAAACAATATTCAATTCTATTCAAAAATTTAAAAAAAAAACAGTAAAATAATTTTATTGTCATGACAAAAAATATATTAAAAATAATAAGTAATGAGTGTGAAATAATAAAAAAAGCCTATGCCAATTTTCAAACGTTTTCATAAACACTCTGAGCTCCAATTAAAGCTGTACATTTCTTTTTTTAGAAAAATATATTGTAATGGGTAATAAAAAAAGGCTAATGCATTTAGGTTTTTTTTATTTATATGATAGCAGATTGTTATCTCCAATTTTTACATAATATTTCAATTTGATTGAAACAATCTGAACACCAAATTAATAAAGCTTTACATCTCTTTCGTTTCAAATTCAAAAAAGTATTCTATATAAAGCGTTAATTGTCAAAACTTGATAAGTCTTAAGGTATGTCACTCATTGAATTAATTACATTGGGGATTTTAAAGAAGTATATTTCAGAAAAGAACTCGTATAACATGACACATACCTGCATAGAAAATAGGGGAGGGTCAGCGAGAATCTTATTGAGCTATGCTACAATTCAGTTTATCTTTTTTCACTTAAATTGTAACTCTTTGGTTAATCACCTTAATTTTTATCCTATTTTATCAGATGTTAATCTGGTAATAGGTTTAATTGGAATTTACATAAAATAGACTTAGTAATATATTAATATTCTTCAATTCACTGAACAAATTAATGCATATAAATCACCATACATTATATATGGTAGGACTCAACTCAATAATGACAACTAGTTATAGAACACAAGAAAATCTGTTCATATTTGACATTTTTATTTACGGACTTAAGGTGTTTTATTGTTTGAATAAAAATTATTTTACAATAGTTACTTAAATTGCACAGGTAATATCAGTACTGTAAAATGAAAGTATATGTCTTGGAATTCCCTTTATTATTTATACCATACTTTTCATATCAAAATGGACTCCATTACAAGCTCACAAACGTAAGTTTTAATGACAGCAACAGATTAATGATTTAATTAATAAAATTATTTATTTTGTGATTCACAAATGTAAAAAAAAAATAATGAAACAACGACACCGTCTAGAACTTAAAAAGGATTAAATAAATAAATAAACTTATCAATAATAATAATTATTTTATTGATTACAAAAGTGGCACATTTATTATCCAAGAATATATTCCATTTTATCATACACAGGAACACAGTCATACAACATATATCGGAATCAGTGTTCGTGGGATTATGTCGTCAAGTGGGGACCTCAAAACTAGTAGCCATGAGGAGAGATATGGCGGACATCTGGGATAAGGTTAAAAATCAAGTGACAAGTGAGGATAACTGTACGATGTTAAGTGGAAGTCAAAGAGAAGGATTCAGACTGGAAACATCAGATGTAGACTTTATGAACTGGCCAAATAACCATCGTGTGATCTGGGAATTATCTCAGTCTCAGTATTACAACACACACAGACAAACGCTGATCCTTTGTGACCCTTCTGATAGTCCACCAGGATTCACTTTGTTATATTTACTGTCACCAAGTATGTGCAAATATGTCCAGAGAGCCTGTGTTACAATGTTTAACAAACATTATATATCTAGTTCTAAATACAAAGAGATCTTCCGTTCTGATTTACAGATCTTCTGTTCTGATTTATCACTTTTCACCACTCCACATGGACCCTGTGGCAGAGGAACAGATGGTGCCCCCTGTATGTTAGTGATTTTTGGCCTCCATCTGCCTTCTCATGGTTAGACAGATGTTACTCATGGCCCAAGCGTCATGTTGTTAATAATATAGTAAAAAATGGATGCCACTTTGTAGCAATAAGACATAAGCTAGGAAGATATGAAGACCATGAATGGAGAATTTCTCCAAAGCAGAACAAAAACTAGTGAATGCAATGAATCATTGTCAATTCTTAACATATGGCTTGCTTAAATTAATCTTAACAGAAATAATTAACAATGGAGTAGGTGATGATGATAAATTACTGTGTTCCTATCACAGGAAGACAGCTGTTTTCTGGGTGATTCAACAAAATACAATACCTCACTGGTGTCCACAAAATCTCCTGGGTTGTTTCTGGACCTGTTTTAAACTTATTCTTCAATGGGTGTATGAGGGGGTCTGTCCTAACTTTTTCATTCCAGATAACAACATGTTTCGGAGTAAAATTCATGGCATCAAACAACATCTATTATCTATGAGCTTGTACAAGTTGTATGAGAAAGGTTTAGCCTTGCTGCTATATACAGTCCCTCCATTAGGTCCTATATTATAAATGTCCTTTATAATCCCCAACTTTCCATCGTTACAGATGAATATACTCTGATTTCTGAGGCTGAGTTTAGCAAACACTTATGTGGTGAAATATTCAGCGGCGACATAGAACAGAAATTGGACATTTAAAGGTGTATTAGACATTTACATACAATAGAACAGATGAACATTTCACCATTTCTAATGCAGTATCAAGTCCTTGTGCTACAGAACATTACTACTATCATCCTTCAGAAAAGTGCTTTTACATTTCACATGGAAACTAACGCACATAAAAACAAACTGAGGTATAGAGCTGACAAAATCTCCTGTCACATGCTAAAATTAGCAGCCAAGTTTGGTTTTTTTTTACAGACATGATGTACTTAACCATGTTTTATTACAAGACACATAGGTACATGGAAGCTTTATCTATTATAGAGATTATTAAGGCCAAGTTAGCACAGCCATATGTAGTGATGTATTTGTCAAATGTAGATATAGAGATGTATACTGAGGCTGTAGGGGGACAGTCCTGGTCTTCAAAGATGAGACAGGCTGTAGCAATGGATATTGGACTTGACAATAGAGTCCATTATATTAGTGAATTAATACCAGAGCAACAGTCTACTCTACAGAATTAGGTGCCTAAATTACATGTCCAACCCTTTATACTATTATACATGCTAGAGATATTGTGCTACAGACATGTAGACACAATGAGAGTACAAAGAGCTCTAGATGATCTACAGACCCTAGTTCACCATGATCAAGGGCAGCTTATATTTAAACATTACAGAGACGTATCGTGGCAGATTCTGGGGATCTGTCAACAGGTGACAGGGAACCTCCAGGCTGCTCTATACTCATACCAACAATCTCTCAGACAAGAACCATTCCACAAAATACACACAGCTACACAAATGAGAATACAAGGAATTTGTCAATTGAATTCGATGATTAATTTAGTGTGACTGCCAGATATTTGTAGGTAATTACCTGATATATAGAGATTATCTAAAAAGTTACTAACCTCTTTTGATTTCATATTTTCTTTGTTCAATCTTTTTTCCTAATAAAAAGTCAATAATTAGTATATAATGAACACGATTTTTCCATGTTACACTTTTACACTTAAAAATTTATTATATTAAACTAAATGTTTTATTTGAAATTTATGCTTATAAAATTCTTACTACAATTGAACAATATATAGAATCAAAAAACACTCATTTACCAATTAAAATCAGTTTGAAGTTTTGATTTTTCACAAAAAAATATTGTGGCTTTGATTTATATTGAATTTGTAACAAAGGGGGAAGTTCTACTCTGCGAAAAAAAGAGGGGGAAATTTGGCTCTGGTATGAGATTTCCCCTTGGGGGAAAATCCTACTCTATAGTATACTTTCAAGAGGGGCTGGCTAAAAGGGAAATCTTACTCTACAACATCGGTTCAGCTGGGAACCATTGCATTGAAATAATTCAATGGCGAATTTTCATATCACACCGATAAATGATATTTATTTTGCATCTATTCTAAACTATTAAACCAGATTTAAAGAATAAACAACAAGTGTTTATTGTTTGTTTTAATGACATTTGTTCTCAAATTTTCATGCTTTAGAGTTGTCAAACATTGACGAAGTAGGCTGTCTAAATGTCTACGACTATCTCTTTGACAGAAAGTGAAACATTTCGTCAACTCCTATAATGTTTGATATGAAAAAAAATACGATATCATTGTAGTCTGTTTCTCAGCAGTTGAATTGGGAAATTAACGATGGTGTAGGGAATGGTACCGTTTAGCGGTATCCGTTATAGAAGGAAAAAATGATTTTTGATAAACACAGTTGTTTGAATGTGCTATTGATTTTTCACTTTTAAGACTTGTATCTAATTTAGAACATCATGTGACACTATTCTCTTTAGAGAAGTGGACAGACTTTCGCCTACATCCTACATCTCTAAACAGAATACATGTGACACCACAGACAAACTGTTCCAGATGTCTTGTGCTACAGAACTAACAGTTTGCCTATGTTAACACATATTGATATCTCAGAAATTTGTCAATGCTGTCTCACTCAGATTTTTTATTCACAAGGTTTGGAGACTCGAGTGAATTAAGGATAAAGAAGATAACGAACAGTATTCAATATTGAAGTCCATAAAACTTGAATAATATCTGTTGAGTGTATTAAACGGTAGCCAATTAACATGAGGTGATAACAAACTGTAGTCAAGCTCAAAGTGCAATGAAACAATACAGATTGGGAGCAGAGCAAACACAGACTTCCAAAAACATCAGAGGTGTGCCATGTTGATCATCCCCTGTAAACTGGTCACATTTGCTGTGCCCCTTGTCATGATAAGGAAAAAAGAGAAAATTCGTAGATTATTCATTTAACTCTGTAAATAATGGCCTGACAATTAGTAATACTTTAGAGAGCATTTGATTTAATGACCAACAGGAGTAAAAATAAGGAGTAAATATTGACAAACTAATGCTGGTATTTTTAATTTTAAAATATTTGACTAAATTCAATCATCAGTCATTGCATGGGACTTGAAATTAACATACTAGCTTCTATAAATATCCAGTTATATTTTCCTGAATAACTGCAGTGGACTGTCATCAATAAATAATCAGTCACTTTACACTATAAACTCTGAACCAACAACCCCAAAACATTGTAAATGTCTTCCTTTTTTGTTAATCCATTCAATCATCTCCGATTAAGAAGATAACAAGTATTTATAATGTTTATTGATATAGTATTCAAGTTATTTTTCAATATGTAAAATGATTAAATAAGTGACGTAATAAAAGTAGTGTACATAGGAATATGATGAGGATAATTATCACAGTCTGTTTCAGACTACGTTAACCATCACACACACTCGTGGTACAACCCAGAATGGAATGTTTTAGGATGAGAGAGTGTGTAACATCTTAAAGCTCAAGGCAATGTACTATCTATGTCATTTTCTATGGTAGTACAAGATCTAACTTAGACAGAATATCTCAATTTCTGTCCTGGAACATCATATGATAAAAGTTAGTTCAATCTGAATTTTACAATATATTTTACAATCTCAAGAAAATATCAGATAAAAAAATCAGAGAGGGCTACATTATTGCAGCAATTGTACGTAATATATTTCACATCTTACAAATTACCAAATATGCATATATTCTTTTATTTTTTGTGAACATGTAGAATGGCTGTTAATAAACAAATTTATGCTACAAGAAATGAAAATCAAATGCAATGAAATGACAAAATTAGGGCTGATTCTTTTTCTTGGATAAATCTTTAAACTTTTTAAAGCATTTTTAACTTTTCAGTTCACTGAAAATATTAAAGAAATTACAATGGGGATGATCCCCTACATAATCTTATTCAATGAACTCCATTTGATTCATAATTGAACAGTGATGCAATATTTATATCTCATCAAATAGGAAGTCATCTAAAATATCCACTTCTTGTAAGAGCGAGAGAGATAAAGCGTCAGGAATGGGGTTCTGAGTTAAATGGAAAGGCATTGCCAGCAATGCCTAGATTGATTTTATCAGAAAAAATCTACTGAAATTCAATGTCAAAAATAAACAGCTACTGAGTTAAATATGAATGCTAAAAAGGAACAACTTCATTTAGGACATGAAAACTGCATTAATCGAAAATAAATATTCCCTCTATCATAAAACAATAACAAAGAAATTACAAGCAAAAATGTGATATTGCACATTCACGACACACCCATGGTTCTTCATAACCAAAAGGCAACATCTTACACAAGTCACTGAAACATAAAAATAATTCTACACTGGAACTACAAACTTCCAGTATTCCTAACATAAAACATTCATTGTTAGTTGTAGCACTTTTCATCAGATAAGATTGGATCAAGACATTGTAGAACAGATTACTAAATGCCAATTCATTCTAATGCATCTGCTATAGTTTAAATCACATAAATGGCTATGATGATGAATAATTCAATCACACTGCTCAAATTGTAAGAACCAAAAAAGATGTCAAACAAATATCTACTTAAATATTACATGTTAAAAATTGTAAAGGAAATGGATATCACAGTAAAGTCTGACAGTTAAAAATTTTCACAGTAAGTAGACAAGATTTATTTCCCTTGCTTCCTCACTCCACGAATAAATCACCCGTACATCCTCTGCCTTCTTAGTTTGGAATTCTGGGATATTCCTGCTCCATTAGTGAGGTGCATTGTGGTCAATTGACTAGTTTGTGAATGAGGTAATTGTCACTGTCACCCCATTGGTAATTTAATAAAACTAGATCCTAAACCTGGTCAAACGGGTCCCTCAGGATCCACCAAATATTTACCTACGATAAAAAGATAATCCTTCAGAAACAGTGTAATACTTGCATGGTTTTGTTCTCATGTGTTTTTAAAGTTAGATTTCTGAACAAGTATATATAATTATTGCAGAAAATCTTCCATAAACACAACAAATCAAGTTAATAAACTTCTCTACCTGCTACTGATTAATTTTAGTACTTCATGACAAAAAAAAAAAAAGAAAACGTCCTAAACAGTATTCCATATCTAATGACTAAACAGTATTCCACATTTAATAGTTAAACTACATTTTACACATTTAATGTATAAACAGTATTCCATCTTTAAATGGAATGAAATATGAACACTAACCTGCCCCAAACCTCTTTTTGAGTAGAGACACCCTGTACCCTGGTCCCACCATCTCCATCTCCAGGCCGGACAGACACGCCCCCTCACACAGGAACTGGATGGCTGAGGGGGAGGGGCGGGAGGGGCCCGACTTCAACTCAAACTTGGCCCTAATGCTGCCCTGGCTTCCCTCCTCACTCAGTTCTGATAAATCATTCAGTCTCCATGTCGCCCGCTGGTTGTCTTCATTCCTTGAAAATAAAATATATCTCGTTTAACAAAATACTAAAAATAGACAAGGGCTATTCCCTTATCTACCCGACCCCTTGGCATAAAAAGTCTTTTCTATTCATGGGGCTATTTATGAATAAAATATAAGTTATGTGCTGTTCTTTATAGAATATCGGGTATTTCACATCTCTCCATTGCAGCTTATTTCAATTTATAAATATATTCTAACTATACATGTTCAGGTTAAAAGAAGGCTACATATACGGTACACAGAGGCAAGGCCATCACTGAAGTTATGACTCTCATTGAAACTTATGAATTCTGAGTTAATATCAAGAAAAAGCAAAGATGGAATCTTGATGCTGGGGAGGGGGGAGGGGCAAGGGCCATAAAAAAATTGTATAGGTGGGGTACCTTTTAATGTATGTATCTCATCAGCTTTTTAGAAAAGTTCACACAGAACATCTTACTTTGAAACTATTTATTAAAATTCAATTTTTATAACATATCTAATTTCAACATCATAGATTGTAGAGGCTAAATATCCTGAGACAGAAGAGAGAAACTACTGTAGATTCCTTATTTTTTGTGAGTACTTATTACCATTAATGGCCTCTTCAACAGCAAATCGGGAGAATAATATTTTGCAAATGGATGGTTGGTCAAGAGATTTTGCATAGATTTCAGCACCATTAGAATAAAGGCGAGTGTTTCCCGGGGTGGGCGATATTACCGAAAATTAATGAGACAACAAAACCTACTCACCAGTCACTAGGAGTGAAGGATGGGGATACCCCCGAGACAGACAACAAAACCTACTCACCAGTCACTAAGAGTGAAGGATGGGGATACCCCTCCAAACACGGCAAAAAACTTGTACATTTTTGAGAGTGGACGGTGATGACATGGAGTTGGGGTTGTATTTGTAGTCCAGGCGGTAGTCTGTGGTGTTCTCTTCACAAAACCCACCACCAGTCACTAAGTAGTCTCCAGGGCTGGGCCATGTAAATCCATTCATATAATGTCATTCAAAATAAAGTAAGAGTTTGCAGTAACACTACATTGGAAAATATTCTTTGATAATTTCCAGTAAAATTTTCACCACTAAATTCACTTAAAAGATCAGAAATGAAATTTGATCTCCTCTAACAATTTTACAAATTTTCATGTGAAAGTAAAGGAGCAGTCCATTTGAAAGTCATGTGAACTTCATGACAAAATCACGTAAAAATTGGTTTTTATCAAAAAATGAACGTGTGTTGCGCCCAGTTTCATGCTCATAGAGCTGAGTTGATATACATGTACATACCTGATATTTGAGAATGTCGATGTTGAAGTAGGAGGCTGACTTATTCTGCTCTCCTTGATGTTTTAGATGCTCGATCAGAGCAGACATGTTGAAGGTGTAGAAGTTTGTATCAGCTTCCTGTTGACTGGGATCCCTGGGAAGACAAAGGGCTTATACAAATAATTCCATAACAACAATCTAATTCTGGTTCTAACAGGCTATTTGATTGGATAATCATTTAATTTCTATAAAATACTTGATTCTGATTGGATAAAAAATTCTTTTGATAACTGCATCAATAAAATCAGAGTTCGGTTGCACTAAGCAGCCTAACTTCACATCGGTACATGTATATTCCCGCTTCCACATTACTTTTTGAAGAAATAAAAATACTTTTGCTTTAATAAATATTTTCCTGAATTTCGGAACCTGTCCGTTACGTTCTTGACTTTCTACTTTCGTTTCATAGGGAATTATCCCCCATTGCTAAACAAATGAAATAATCGTCTGCATGACGACAATATACAGTTACGGGAAGAAAGGGAAGAAATCGTTTAATTGGCATACTTTTCTTAAATGTTTGACTTTGAATATCTGGTATGAAAATCAATAGAACTTGAAAAAATGTTTTATTATGCTACCAAAGCGGGGAAAACCGAAAATCTGTTAAATCGTGGGAAACGAGTGATCATATGTACATGCCTGAATTGAGGATGGAATTCTTTAATCTTGAACTATCGGCAGCAGACTCTTTCAGGTATTACAGCATTGACAGGTTATGATACGTATTTATATATTCGCTTTGAAATTCAAATGAAAAGATGCGCAAATGAAATCCAAAATTTCTGTGACGTAGAACTGTTAGGATATTTGAGTAGCTTCCCTTTACATTTACGAACTTAGATAACTTACCGGGGAAAATATATCAAGGGGATAACACAACAGGTATTTTTTGTGTTAAAGAACTGTAAATTATTTTGGAGACTGTTGGTAATCACACGACAATATTTGATAAAGTTTTTCGTTAGCATGGTTAGAGCCATTTTGAATTTTCAGCAACGTTAACGTTATGGTGATGTATTCATGCGCACTGTTTTTGATACATAAATTTAATAGAAAATTGAAAGAAACTTTCATTTTAATAATTTAAAATCATAATTAAATGAAAGAAATAATGTTATAATTTTTTCTTTGATCGATGTATCAAAGAAAAATTATAGGGTATTGCGCTACGCGCATTGAACAGTTTATAAATTTTTCTTTGATACATCGATCAAAGAAAAAATTATTACATTCATTTCTTAAATAAAATTTACTTTTTATTGCATTAACTATGTTGTGTTTGTGTGTATGTCACAACTCGATCCATTTGAAAATGTGTCTATCCACCTGATGTTACATTTATATTTTGTTCAAGTTGGAGTCATTCATTAAATCATCCTATTTTCTCACATTAAATGAAAATTTAATTATAAGGAATCAATCTAAACCTACCAAATTTATACAGTAGACACTGGGCTGGAACAGTTTATGCTTTTTTATAAACTTCTTTATGGTTTATGAAGCATGAACTGACCTAACCCAATTTATGCCCCATAAATTGGGTAGCTTTTAAATTCATATCTTAAATAACTAGTTAACTGATACTAGTAGACACCACAATAACTCGACGGTTTAAGATGTAGACTTACAGTTCCACCAGCTGTTTGTTGAGCATCGTGTTCTCTAACTTGGAGACATTTTTTAGTTTGAAGCTCAGTAATGCAGGGTTAGGATTCTCTGTAAACACTCGAACAACCCCCGCAGGAAATGACATCATCACATTTCCCGTAATCTTCACCATGCATCTAAAAATAGAAAGAAACAATATATCTTTAAATTTTTTAAATCTTCAACATCATGTTCAATGTATACCTTCAACAATATTTGTATAACATCAAGTAAATTCCAAAAAGATAAAACTCACAAATTCTTAAAATCTTAAAACAAAAATCATAATGTACAGGCATTTGAAGAAACTGATTCTATATATAATTGGGAATCAAAGCCTCATTTTTTATTTCCCATCAAGTAAGAATCAGGTAAATTTAAAACAATTTACATCTTTTCCTTAAGTTAGAATCTGACCTTGTAGCATCAGTTCCTTTGAAGTAAGCGTTGATTGTTTCTGTGAAGGCGATGGCTAATGGAATAGTGTCTGACATGCCAATGGTGAGCGGACTCGGTCCACGGGAGGATCCAATGGGCATGGAGGTCGTATTGAAGGTAACACTGCTACTGCTGTCTGACCGCGACATGAAGGAGGCGGGGCTAGAACGTCCAGAGATCGGGCGCGAGGGAAGCTACAACAATATAGGTCAAGGACATTAGTATGTGACCTAAAATTGGGAATGAGTGAAGTTGCATAAAATATAATTCAAGTAAATTGGTTTGGACAAGAGATACTGCATCAGAATAATATAATTTTTCTGTAAACAACCAGACAAGTTGACTCTGTGTTAAACTGACCTGGGGTACGCTGGGCTTGACCCTGGGTTGGGAGACCGGTCGTTGTGGAATAGAGGGGGGTGGTCCCGGGAGTGAGTTGTTCAGACTAGAGCCGTCCTTTGACCCGTTACTGTTGTTAAACACTTCATTTCCACCTGAAAAAAAAATTATGGATCAATTTATAAAGATCTAAATTACAACTATAAATTGGGTAGAAAAATTTGAAGAAAATCTCATCAAGCTAATAATTCACAAGAAGGTTAAAATACTAAAATTTTTCTTGTTTAAATATAAAATGAGCAAGTAATGATTTTTTTTAGAGCAGCACTGTTGACTGTCTATAAAATATGAGGGGTATGTTATATTGTGTACCCTTGAAATAAAGACATTGTTAAGTTCTGTGATATATTAATCATTTGGTGTGTCATTTTTGTGTGACAGTGGTGAATTGTTGATTGTTGTGCGACAGTGGTACATTGTTGATTGTTGTGTGACAGTGGTACATTGTTGATTGTTGTGTGACAGTGGTACACTGCTGATTGTTGTGCGAAGGTGGTACATTGCTGATTGTTGTGCGACAGTGGTGCATTGTTGATTGTTGTGTGACAATGGTACATTGCTGATTGTTGTGTGACAGTGGTACATTGCTGATTGTTGTGTGACAGTGGTACATTGTTGATTGTTGTGTGACAGTGGTACATTGTTGATTGTTGTGTGACAATGGTACATTGTTGAGAGTTGTGCAACAATGGTACATTGCTGATTGTTGTGTGACAGTGGTACATTGTTGATTGTTGTGTAACAATGGTGCATTGCTGATTGTTGTGCGACAGTGGTGCATTGTTGATTGTTGTGTGACAATGGTACATTGCTGATTGTTGTGTGACAATGGTACATTGCTGATTGTTGTGCAACAATGGTACATTGCTGATTGTTGTGTGACAGTGGTACATTGTTGATTGTTGTGCGACAATGGTACATTGCTGATTGTTGTGCAACAATGGTACATTGCTGATTGTTGTGTGACAGTGGTACATTGTTGATTGTTGTGTGACAATGGTACATTGCTGATTGTTGTGTGACAATGGTACATTGTTGATTGTTGTGTGACAGTGGTACATTGCTGATTGTTGTGTGACAGTGGTACATTGTTGATTGTTGTGTGACAGTGGTACATTGCTGATTGAGAAAAGGATAGAGAATATCCAATTTACTTTTATACTTGTTATGAGGTGTTATAGCAAACATATTTTAGATAGCATCTTGTAATACGTTTGTTGAGTTACCAGAATAGAGTGGATTTTCGCAATTTTATGGCTGGTGTTGCTTTTTAGTGGGTAGGTTGACTTACTAGAATTGTGGAGTGAGGTTGTAGCATGGCTGGTGTTGCTTTGTAGTGGGTAGGTTGACTTACTAAAATTGTGGAGTGAGGTTGTAGCATGGCTGGTGTTGCTTTGTAGTGGGTAGGTTGACTTACTAGAATTGTGGAGTGAGGTTGTAGCATGGCTGGTGTTGCTTTGTAGTGGGTAGGTTGACTTACTAGAATTGTGCAGTGAGGTTGTAGCATGGCTGGTGTTGTTTTGTACTGGGTGTGTTGACTTACTAGAATTGTGCAGTGAGGTTGTAGCATGGCTGGTGTTGCTTTGTACCAGGTATGTTAACTTACTAGAATTGTGCAGTGAGGTTGTAGCAATACTATGGCTGGTGTTGTTTTGTACTGGGTAGGTTGACTTACTAGAATTGTGCTGTGAGGTTGTAGCAATGCTATGGCTGGTGTTGTTTTGTACTGGGTATGTTAACTTACTAGAATTGTGCAGTGAGGTTGTAGCATGGCTGGTGTTGCTTTGTACCGGGTATGTTAACTTACTAGAATTGTGCAGTGAGGTTGTAGCATGGCTGGTGTTGCTTTGTAGAGGGTATGTTAACTTACTAGAATTGTGGAGTGAGGTTGTAGCATGGCTGGTGTTGCTTTGTACCAGGTATGTTAACTTACTAGAATTGTGCAGTGAGGTTGTAGCATGGCTGGTGTTGCTTTGTACCAGGTATGTTAACTTACTAGAATTGTGCAGTGAGGTTGTAGCATGGCTGGTGTTGCTTTGTACCGGGTATGTTAACTTACTAGAATTGTGCAGTGAGGTTGTAGCATGGCTGGTGTTGCTTTGTACCAGGTATGTTAACTTACTAGAATTGTGCAGTGAGGTTGTAGCATGGCTGGTGTTACTTTGTACCGGGTATGTTAACTTACTAGAATTGTGCAGTGAGGTTGTAGCATGGTTGGTGTTGCTTTGTACCGGGTATGTTAACTTAATGAATTATGCAGTGAGGTTGTAGCATGGCTGGTGTTGTTTTGTACTGGGTGTGTTGACTTACTAGAATTGTGGAGTGAGGTTGTAGCATGACTGGAGTTGTTTTGTACTGGGTATGTTAACTTACTAGAATTGTGCAGTGAGGTTGTAGCTATACTATGACTGGTGTTGCTTTGTACTGGGTATGTTGACTTACTAGAATTGTGCAGTGAGGTTGTAGCATGGCTGGTGTTGTTTTGTACTGGGTATGTTGACTTACTAGAATTGTGGAGTGAGGTTGTAGCATGGCTGGTGTTGCTTTGTACCGGGTATGTTAACTTACTAGAATTGTGCAGTGAGGTTGTAGCTCTACTATGACTGGTGTTGCTTTGTACTGGGGGTGTTAACTTACTAGAATTGTGCAGTGAGGTTGTAGCATGGCAGGTGTTGCTTTGTACTGGGTATGTTAACTTACTAGAATTGTGCAGTGAGGTTGTAGCATGGCTGGTGTTGTTTTGTACTGGGTGTGTTGACTTACTAGAATTGCGCAGTGAGGTTGTAGCATGGCTGGTGTTGCTTTGTACTGGGGGTGTTAACTTACTAGAATTGTGCAGTGAGGTTGTAGCATGGTTGGTGTTGTTTTGTACTGGGTGTGTTGACTTACTAGAATTGTGCAGTGAGGTTGTAGCATGACTGGTGTTGCTTTGTACCGGGTATGTTAACTTACTAGAATTGTGGAGTGAGGTTGTAGCATGGCTGGTGTTGCTTTGTACCGGGTATGTTAACTTACTAGAATTGTGCAGTGAGGTTGTAGCATGGCTGGTGTTGCTTTGTACCGGGTATGTTAACTTACTAGAATTGTGCAGTGAGGTTGTAGCATGGCTGGTGTTGCTTTGTATCGGGTATGTTAACTTACTAGAATTGTGCAGTGAGGTTGTAGCATGGCTGGTGTTGTTTTGTACTGGGTATGTCATCTTACTAGAATTGCGCAGTGAGGTTGTAGCATGGCTGGTGTTGCTTTGTACCGGGTATGTTAACTTACTAGAATTGTGCAGTGAGGTTGTAGCATGGCTGGTGTTGCTTTGTACCGGGTATGTTAACTTACTAGAATTGTGCAGTGAGGTTGTAGCATGGCTGGTGTTACTTTGTACTGGGTATGTTAACTTACTAGAATTTTGCAGTGAGGTTGTAGCATGGCTGGTGTTGCTTTGTACTGGGTGTGTTAACTTACTAGAATTGTGCAGTTAGGTTGTAGCATGACTGGTGTTGTTTTATACTGGGGGTGTTAACTTACTAGAATTGTGGAGGGAGGTTGCAGCATGGCTGGTGTTGTTTTGTACTTGGGGTGTTAACTTACTAGAATTGTGCAGTGAGGTTGTAGCATGGTTGGTGTTGCTTTGTACCGGGTATGTTAACTTACTAGAATTGTGCAGTGAGGTTGTAGCATGGCTGGTGTTGCTTTGTACTGGGTATGTTGACTTACTAGAATTGTGCAGTGAGGTTGTAGCTATACTATGGCTGGTGTTGTTTTGTAGACTGGTGTCCGCCAAGGGAGATAGGGGTGAGGGGAGATTGAAGCGGCTACCTGACGGGGTGGAAGCACTTGATGAGGAAAAGAAGTCCAAGTTTAACAGGTCCTGGTTTGGTTTTACTGGACTAAAATAGAACAGACAATTAACCTCTCAAAAACAAAACAAATCAGTTTTAGAAATGCAAAAAGTACCTATAAATTTAGGATTGGGATTATCATAAAAGATTTCTTGGGGACTCCTGAGTACCTGACTGTGATCTCTAGACAAGTAATTACTCCAGAAAATCTTACTCTGATTGTATTTCATCATCTATTGCCTATAAATAGTTTTTGATAGGCCTGATTTTAGCAAGAGTTACTTCCCGTTGGTCACCATATTGGTAGTCAACTCAGTGATTTACCCTCTTTGTCTTACCAAGTTTCAGAGGATGAAGCAGAAACATTTGGGGGAATCTTTATTAAATAATTTTTTTTAAATAAAGGAGACTTCCAAAACTTTATATACATCAGAAAAATAATGATTCCTAATTCAAAATGGCAAATATAAAATTTTAAATTGGTTGAACAATGAAGGGATTTGAGCATTTGGACCTCCAGTGTGGCAGCAAACGGGAAATACTGTATACAGGGAAATTTTCGCCCCTTTCGCCCTACTATCATTTGGGCGAATTTAAAATGGGTCGAATTTAAAGAATACAGTATAATTTCTTAAACAAAACTATGACTGGGTGAATTTAAAATGGGATAAAATTGTTTGCAAGTGCGAAAATAAGACGGGGCGAAAATAACCCTGTATACAGTAACTTTTGTTAAATTCTGGCCTTTCGAAAACTATCTATACGAGTACTTACTCCAGTGTGTCAGATTCGGATTGGGATCTCTTCATCATCTTTTTATCTATAGGTGTGGTGGTCCTCTTTCTCTGTCAAAAAATCTTTACAATTAAACAGTATCAGAAAGTCACACAAACAAAAATTTGAAGCATGGATTGATATCTATTTCTCGACTGATTTTGATTTGAAATGGCATAAATAATAAATCCCTGAAATATAAAGAAATTGTAGGTTTTCCTTGGTGCTGAGATAGGAGACATTGTTTTGCTCTCTATATAATTCTCTTCAAAATTTTGCACAATTTTTTAATCTTATGACAAAATCTTATAACATTCTCCCAATATAATTGGTAAACATTATTAAGGTTACCAATTTAAATGTAAATCTATGAGAAATATAGCTGTTTTCTGAAAAAAAGTTTGTTTGTTTTATTTATCCTTAAATTACAAACAGGGTCTATCTACATGCTATCAATGAAGTACATACGAGGGCTGCTGTGGGGGACAGTCTCAGCTGACTGACGGACTGTTTGATGTCATCTACAGTTCCTGACACGTTACCATTTGGACTTAAAGGACGGATCGCTACTTTGATTTTCCGTTTTGATTCATCATCTGTAATATCAAAACAGGCACATGTATTGATAAAAACCGATAAGATACAGAATCCTTCTTCTTCACCTTATATGTGCTTTTTCAATTTTTTCATCAATGATGAAATTTCTAAGTTTCTGTTTTTTTAACAAAATTTGTTGTTCCTGTTTCATCTTTAAATTGCAAAATTTTCAAATTTTCCTTTTCTTATGTACAGATGACAAAATAGGATAAAATAATGACATTTTCCATGGCAAAGATTATTTTCACTGTTCCTATGACCTTTTTTAATAATCAAAACAATCTTTTGTTGCTTTATAATGTTATCTTCGTTACTAAATTCTTATCTATCACAATCATTATATACATTTTTATTCACCAGATCCTCTGAAGTATCTCAGTCACTGACCTGATTCAAACTGAACCAGCATTTTTCTTGCTGACATGGGGACCTCAGTTCCACTTACCTGAGTCACTGTCACTCTCGCTGGACCAGCTATTTTTATCACAGCTGTTCTCCATGGGGTCCTCAGGTCGAATAGAATAGCCCTCCTCATCCACATCTGGAGTTGTCTGTAAAATATTAATAAATCAAAGTACTGAAAGTACTCGTAAGCGCTAATCATCCACATCTGGAGTTGTCTGTAAAATATAAATTAATCGAAGTACTGAAAGTACGGGGAAGCACTAATTATTTACATGTCTGTAAAAATGCCTTCTACCAATAAGGTATGATTATTTCAAAAGCACTTATGTATGATTACTGCATATAAAATAATAAAACAAGATGTGTTTGTGAAAATTATGCGCCCTGTGGCAACAAAGTTCAAAAAAGTATTTTTAGCAGATAAGTCACAATCAAGGTCACAAGGTCATTGACCTTGGTGTCATTTGAAAGAAATTAATTAGTGAAGTAAGCATATTAAATACGAAATCTCTATCTCTCTTGGTTTAAAAGTAATGGTGAAAGATTTAAAAAGCTATTTTAAGCATATAGGTCAGTCAAGGTCACAAGGTCATGACCGTGGTGTCATTTGTAAGAGCTTCATTAATGGAGTATGCATACCAAATATATAAAGTCTCTACCTCTTGTGGTTCAAAAGTTATGGCAAAAGTTCGAAAAGGCTATTTTTAGCATATAGGTCACAGTCAAGGTCACAATGTCATTGACCTTGACGTCATTTGAAGAAGCTTCATTGATGGAGTATGCATACTGAATATAAAGTCTCCATCTCTCATGGTTCAAAAATTATGGCGAAGGTTAAAGTTGACAAACAGACAGGACAAAAACAATATACGCCTCGGATCTATTGATCTGGGTGCATAAAAAAGTACACTTTCTCGTGAAAATTTATTGAAAAGAAAAACCACATATCATAATGTTTACTCACCCCTTCTGTTGTGTCCCTGTAAAATAAAAAAAGTAAATATTCAATGAAAGAGCAGGAACTTACACTAACTGTGTTTAGGGGAGGGGGACAAGGGGGACTTACACTAATTGGGGGGGGGATAACTTACACTGACTGTGTGTCTGAGGACTGAGCCTCTCTTTCATCCTTGTCCTTTTTCTTCTTTTTCTTCTCTTTTTTCTTTTTATTTTTGAGAAACCCTGAAATTATGATCCAAAGCTTTAAAGCACCATACTGAACAGTTATCTAATAGTAAATATCTAAAAATATATATTAATGTTTAAATAACAATCAGAAATTTCATTCTTATATCTGACTTTTGTTCAAATGAAAGCATGTTGCATTTAGACATTCTTCTTGGTTTTTTCTATAATAAACATTGTCTAGAGCATGCTATTTGTGAGACTCTACAGAAGCGAATCATGCAAAGCTCCTCCATCCTCATACACAATCCGTATAAATCATCATTAAAGAAACAGTTTACACACTTGATAAATATACTGTATTTCCCCAATACCCATGCACACATAATACTCTACAAACATATTATGGTAAAATCGAGGAGTTTCTTTGTCTGCATTTTAATGAAGAGCATGCTAAAAGCTTCTTCTTACAGAAAAGACTAGCCAACTTAAAGATTAATCAAAGAGAAACTCAGACTCCATATTGGAGCAAATATTCCAGTATTTTAAGTTATATCTATAAATAGAGGGAGGAAATACCTTTAAATTACATCATGAAAACACTGACAGTATCTGATTACACTACAGCACAAGAATTCAACCATCTGCTAAATGGTGCAACAATAAATCAGAAATCTAGCACAAAAAATAAACCGACTGCTGCCAGGTGCAGTAATAGATTAAATATAATGTAGGTGACAAACTATTAAACAAAAAGAAAATCAATCTCAAAATAGTGCCTTTAAAATACTGATACATAATATTTCTTATTAAGCTTGGAGTTTTCTAGCAAATAAATTCTGGTGAAAAGATAAAGCAAAAAATAAATAAATAAATAAATGAATAAATAAGGAACTGCACAGTTCAATTCTCATGGTAGTTAAATCATCGGACACTGAATAAATCTCTTGATTGATAGCTGTTAGTTATTTGTTCTGTGATAAACCCTTAGATACCCAATATAACTTGTCTCCAGGTTATTATTTTTAACAATAAATGTAAATCTTCCATATGGTTGACAGAATCATATATTTTAGCTGATATGGTGATTACATGGAGGTAATGATAAACTTTACTTTTACCAAAGCCATGAAAATTGATATCTACAATAAACATCAAGTCTTCCCTACAAGACAATTTACACAGGTCTGCCTTCTACACAAAAATTAAATATCAATAAAATTCTATAAACAGAAAAAAAAACAATTTTAATGCATATATACAGACTTGAAATAAAAAAAAAAGAATTCAATAAAAAAATAATGCAGTAAGAGAGAGAGCAGGGTTAGTAGGAAAGACTAGCAGACAAACAGACAAACCACACATAACCAACAAAGTAGTAACACTCAAGTTTACATGTTCTGGAGACGCGCAGGTTTACACTGCGGCTGAGCGGGCCAGGCTGGTCCGAGGGAACGGGGCTGGGGCTCCCGCTCGAGTCTGCAAAGTAGGGTGATCAAAAGTCAGTGTGTGAAGGATCCAAGATCTCATGCCTATCACAGGGGTGGAGGAATGGTGATATAGAAATGGGCCTTCAAGCTTGATTCATTAGTGTTCTTTCTTGATTCATTTTTGTGGTTTTCCAAAAAATTACTCTTGTTTCTTATACAAAAAAAACCCTAATGCTTTTGGCATGTGAAACTTCTTCTGCTTTACCAGTACCACTGTACAAAATTAATTATCCCATTTTGTACAAAATGTCTAAAAACATTCAACTGAAGCAAGTTTTTTGTCAAAAAAAATCAAGCTGGATATAGAAACTGTGATTACTGTGGGGTGTGTCTCAGCCCTGCTCACAAAATATCAGTTTATCACCTCCATTCTCAATGCTGCTTCCAATTTCGAAAAAAATAAGCAGTTAAAGTTAATGAATTTATCTTGATTGTGCTCAGGACTGAGATATCTATACAAAATAGCATGGGACATGAGGGGCTCTCATATCTGGTGGGATAAGGTGCTTAATGAAATAACATAAATGACAGCATTCACTGAGGTGGTCTGTAACATTGTCAAAATAAATACATATAACGTGTATAAGGGGGAGGGGTCTACGAGTGTGTGTATACACTACCAGAGAAAAGAGTTAAATCTGCAAATCAAAGAATCGCAACAAATCAGTTCTCACTACACAATCAACAAAAAGCTTACATAAAACAAAGCAACACAAAAGTTATATTTCCCCAAGATAACAAAATGTCTAAGTCTATTGTATGAACTCTAAGATTGTTTCTTAAAATTAGACTGTTTAGAAATAAATTTATAATGATAGACGTTTTTTTCAGTTTTATCACCTTTTTGGAGGTTCCAATTTTTTTTCAATTTCATTTAGAAAATATCAAAAGAATCTGGATTAATTTAATTTAATTTCTTTAAATTTAATTATGAAACATTTAAAGTAATTTTACTCCTAACTTTTATTACACATTAAATTTTGCAATGTCTGTACTTAGAATTCATATTTCAAATCACAATTTCCAAGAGTTTGCTTATTCTCTCTTCCCTTTCATTAGACTTCAATCAGCTGTCCAAACAGATTTATACTTTCCTTAGCATCAGTAAAATTACTATAATTTCTAATGATGAACTAAGATTTGAAACAAATTTTAAAAAAAAGTTTAAAATCTAAACTGGGTCACTTATCTAAGGGTTTTGTTTTGAAAATTCCTTTTTTTCCCTTGGAAATCATTACTACATCCCAACTAAAATTTCCCACGAATCAAGACTTTTGTAGGCTATGAATTATCGCAGTATTAATGGTATTAGAGGACAATAAGTCAGACATGGTACACAATAAACTACAAAAAAACATCCACACAAAACAGTACAACACAAACTGAAATGAGATATCATCAATCAGGCAAACCCTCCATCAGTGAGAATTCTATCAAAGAAAAGCACAGGAAGTAAAATGACCTGTACTTCCTGAACTAATCTATAACTGCTAAATCTAAATTTAATTCTTCATAAATTCACCTTTTTTATTTGCTATGTGATTATTTGTGTTGAACAATTTTGTGAACTACAAGAGAGGGCCGACACCAGTACATGACAAGGGAGCTTACCCTGGCGAGATTTCTCCGATATGCTATCCCGTTTATCGTTAGGGTCTGATTGAACCAAGAAAAAGAGAAACGATAACGTACATAAAGTAAAATAAAGATCACATGACATGGGACGAGCTGGAGGCAGGCTGGAAAGATTGGGCTCGACAAAATCGATAGGTCCTGTGGAACAAGTACGGACATAATTACACATATTTGAAAAAAATCAGAAATCATTTGAAAAAAATCAGAAATCATTTGAAAAAAATCAGAAATCATTTTATAAATTTGTTCACTAGCAAAAGTCAAACAAGAGATTTGATAAATTTATCTTCTGAAGTTTTGATGACTCAGCCTTCAATGTATTATTATAATACCTTACGAATTAGAAACAAACAATTAAGATGAAATATAAACCTGGTTTTTCCTCTCCTGTCTTCTTAGAATTGATAAAGATTTCTAAGAGTTTAAGAACAGTCAACTCATCACAGCTTTGTCGAAATTCTTCATGTACCTGTGAAACCAACAAAAGGCAAACCTTCTTAGTAAGAACAATACATCTATAGTCCTTGTTTTTGACAAGAAAAAGCATGGTTTCCTTCTGTTTTCACTATGTAGCCTACCTGTCCCAGCATCACATGTTCATTCTGCCAGGCTTTAGCAAAGGAATCAACAAAGTCCTTCATCTGACAAATGTGTTCCTCTTCCAGCTCCTGAAATCTCTGTAAATCACAGGTAAATATTACAGGTAAGTAAAACACAGGTAAATAAATTACAGGTAAGTAAAACACATAGGTAAATAAATATTACAGGTAAATAAAACACACAGGTAGATAAATATTACAGGTAGAATAATGGGTATTATACACAAATAGATATCAGAACATCCCTTCTAAACTTCTCAGTATTTATATTCATCAACATGAAGTTTTTCACCATACATTACTTTTTCTAAATATAAGATATACTTCTTCTTAGTATAAGATATCCCGTACCAAATATCAATTTATATACGAGTCAAGTATTTTATTTTTTATTTACCTTACAAGAATCCATCATTTTCGTCTCAAATTCATTTCTGACATTGGCATACTTGTCCACCAGGGATCTGTAATCTTCACCTGTTATTAAAACAGAGAATAAAAAATCAGAGTAATCAATCTGCAATTCATATCGAGTTATTTAATTAAAATATAATACCGTATAAGTAGAAATTTTAGCGAGGATTTAATTTTGGCATTATTAGCGAGGTCGCCGAGATCGCTAAAATTGAATATCGCTAAAAATTAATTGCATTTTATTTGTTATAGCTTCTTTAATGTGCATTTTAAAATCGCTAAAATAACATCTCGCTAAAAATAAATTACCAGTTTTTAAGGACAAATCGCTAAATTTGCGTCTCGCTAAAATTTCCACTTATACGGTATGGTACCACTTTTTTAATACAATACCACTTTACTCATTTACAGCTGAGAGAAGACAAACTTGACTTACTGGCTTTCTTGTATTTTGTCTCCGCCTTAAAATAAAAAGAAAGTCGTTAAAATCATATGACAATCTTAATATTTAACACAGGGGATGACAAATCCCATTGCCCGACGCCCGGGGCTAGTGAATTTTACGGTTGGGCAAGTGAAATTTTATCAATCACTTGCCCGTGGGCAATTGACTTAATCAATTATCAAAAATAAAATCAATATGTATGCCAATATTCTACTCAGTATTTTTTATATATATATTTATAAATACAGTATAAGTTAATGCACAGGGGCATCTTATCCACTCTGTTCTCTACTTCACATAAAAATACACTGTATTTTTATATGTGAAGTAGAGAACAGAGTGGACAAGTAAAATTGATGCAAAGCATCAAATCGGCCGCTAACAAAATCTAACATTAATTTTTCTAAAAGTACTTTCACAATTTATGAAAGCATCCATGCAAAGAAAGCACTTGTTAAGATATTCAAAGCTGAAATAGTGATCATTTTTATTTCAGGCTGTCTTCAAAGCAAAATAGTAGAAAATTTTTTTTTAAATAATAAAAATTTTACTGCATTTGCTTATCAATTGGATTCATCGATGCCATAACGTCAATAATTAATGATAAGAAATTATTGTCATCAAAATGATGATGTAGGTCTCTCAAGGTGAACCGCACGTGCAGATACCCTAGACCTTTGTCACGTGATAATGCCTATGATTTCTGCAGAGTAGGTTATGCTGCACGGCGATGTGCAAAATGTTGAAAAATAATTCTTGTGTCATTCGTAGGTGTAGCATATTCAAATCAATTTTTACTTGTTGTTTCAATTTTTATTCACCATGCACATTTATCACGTCGTTTTTATCCGGAAAATCATGACGATTGCATTTCGTTTCTTACACACTCCCAAGATGGGGAGTATCTATTGTAAACTCTTTTTATTTAAGCGTGAATTATCAATTATCGGATGCGAAATGATAATGTAATTAAAACATGATAACAGCGATTAAAACTTAGTTTAAAGCAAGTTTTTAAAATATTTAACTCATAATTTTGTTCATGTTATCCTTTAAGAATTATTTTACTGAACTAATAAAAAAAATAACATCTCATTTCCCCATGTGCACTTTCTAACACAATCACAAATAGATCGGCCGCTGCTGCGGCCGATAATAAGATGCCCCTGTGGTTAATGGTAGGGCAGGCAAAAATTCAGGTAGGGCAAGTGAATTTTGACCATGTACTTGCCCTTGGGCAAGTGCCTTTAAAATCTATTTGTCAGCCCCTGTTTAACACAACAGTACTAATACACAGGTATTAACTGCACCTTCTCAATGTCTTTTTGTGACCCATCCCTTTTTAATCTCTCCAACTCTAAACATCTTGTGTGATATATTTCCTTTGCCTGGAAAAAAATTAAATGAAGATATTTTTCATTACAAATTATAAATGATCATGAAAGCCAAACTTTCTTGCTCTTGATGTTCATTTTTATGTTAATAAAAAAAATTATAGGCATTTTAATCAAAAGCCACAAGACAGTGTGTACCTTATGAAGAGCAGCTGTGGTGTGTTGAATGTTGTTTACCGTTTCTAGCGTACTGGACTCACGTTCCTTAACCTGAAAAAAAAAACAATTTGATTTATGTATAGTGTTACAGTCCAGAAGTTTACTTACTTATTGACCATTAGAAATTAATCAGAATATGTCAATCAGTTGTTACAAGTGGCATTTACATGTAAAAACACTGTCAATGTCAAAAAGATTTCCTTTCGCTTGACCATGCATAAACAGAGATGTTTTGTAATACTCTCATCGCTTTATTCTTTGTTTTGTAATAATCTCACCGCTTTATTCTTTGTTTTGTAATACTCTCACTGCTTTATTCTATGTTTTGTAATACTCTCACCGCTTTATTCTATGATTTGTAATACTCTCACCACTATATTCTTTGTTTTGTAATAATCTCACAGTTTTATTCTTTATTTTGTAATAATGTCACTGCTTTATTCTTTATTTTGTAATGCTCTCACAGCTTTATTCTTTGCTTTCTAATACTCTCACCGCTTTATTCTTTTTGACTTGTTCCTCGCTATATCTGGCTACATCCTTCATTAGATCTGTCAGGGAGTGTACCAGCTGTGTGTGAAGAGTGGAAATCTTCTCTGCTAGGGTCTTCAGTACGTTCCAGAATGGAGCAAATGTGCTGTAAAATATAGAACACATTACAGCCAGTGGCAGAAATAAACACTCTGTTTCTTACAAAACTTCAAAAATCAGGAATTATCATTGACTAATGAGATCATATATATATGACTGCAAGGTTCTGTCATGTGGCTCTTTAAATTCAATCATATTAAATGTAAATCAAATATTTTCCCCAAAACTAAATAAAAGGACTGAACATTTTTCAATTTTTTAATATAACACTTCCTTCACTACTAAGCATGTATAAAAAAAACACTGAAGACTCAGCAAATCAATTTATAAATGAAAATATATTTTAAACATTTTTAACTTTTTATATTCAATTGGTACAAAACTTACATTCTGCTTGCTAACCAATTAAAACATGTGCTGCAGATTAGATATGAAATAAAGTTTGATATAGACTAGGTCTAACACTTACCCTCCATGTGTGTTGTTTGATACAGACTTGGCCAATTTGTTTAGAAGTTTACTGTAGGTCTCTTCTACTGTACAACTAAAAATCAATAATAAATATTGGAAGAAAATTCAAAATAGAGAATCATCGCTGCATTACTAAGTATCTATGTCGAAAGGGAAGTTGGAACAATCAAATTTTCCCCTTTCTGACACACTTGAGTAAAAGCCAGAAAAAATTACTAGAAACATTTTGCAATAAAGAATAAAATTTTTAACTTCAATCTGCTATTAAGTACATTTAATTTTCTTCTTTTAATTTTTCTTTATCAGTTTATAATAAATGTAAAAAGCAGCATTCCAAAAGAAGGAATACCTAACATCAAAAACCTTTACTGAGAATATCTGTGATGTTAACAATAACTCACCTTTCTCTAAGAAAATCTATGAAATCTTTGGATGACAGTTGTCCTTGTTTCATATTATGATTCAAAACAAAAAATCCATTGTTTTTCTCCCCCTGAAATGAAAATGTCAATACAATTAGTATATTTCTATCACAATAAAGTTAGTCTGATTTATAAAAGCATAATAATATCACTTATATCAGTATTAATTTTGATGCTGTTTAGAGGAGAATGAAGCTTTAAACTAAAGGATGAAGTAAGAAACAATGAAGTTGACAACTGATAAAACAATGAAAGAAACATGAAAACAACAATTAGTTGGAATAATTTCACTGTGTCTCTGGACAAGCCCCCACCACAGTTGGAAACAAACATTTTTTTTTCTAGGCCTAATGTTACCATTAAGACACAACTGAATTTACATAAACCATGATGAAAGCTGTTAAGCAGTAACATGAGCAAATTAACAATTAGTTAGAATAATTTCACTGTGATCAAATCAAACCTTTTTTAGAATGTGTATTCCTTTTATCTCAATAAATAATCCATATAGAGACGAAAATTCAAGTAATTTTCATGTCTTTTTTTCGTGATTTACCAATTTAAACTGCCATGTAAATTTACATGATTAATTTTATTAAATCGTAAATGCACCGAGTTTGATTTATTGCTTTGCTAAATTGCAAATACATTGCAATCTAGCAAACGGGAGCATAGGACAATATCATTTTAACCAAAATGTTTTGAAGAAAAAATTCAAAAGGCATTTTTTGACAATAACTACCAAATTATTCAAATAAAACCTTTTACAGAATGTATATGCCTTTTACCTCAATAAATAATCCATATAGAGACCAAAATTCAAGTAATTTTCATGTTTTTTTTCTCACTTAAATTTACCTACCATGTTTATATATGGAATTCTCTGGATTATTTGTAGTAAATACACCGAGTTCGATTTATTGCTTTTTTTATTTTGCAACATTGCAAATACACGGAATGAATTTTAATGTTAAAACGGGTCCGTAGGACAATATCACTTTAACTATAGAAAGTTCTAATAAAATAAATCTTATCAACAAAGTTCACACAATACCCTTCTATACTACAGACAGTTTTTTTTTTCTAAGATTTGTCATGATATATCTTTACTCAAACTGAGTAAATAAACAGATGTGTTAACTTATTAATGTCAACTCAAAATTATCTGGGTCTCACATGCACCTTTGACACTCATTACAGCACCAATGTCATACTCTGACTTTAAAAAAGCGGAAGCGTTCTAAACAAAGCATGACAGTATGGTCGTGCTTTATTTCAGTTTACCATTTGTTAAGTCAAAAACAAACTGTTAAACTCCTGTTTGTGAAAGGAGACGTCAGAACGAATGCATATCCTTGCTACCACACAGCTGCTACACCCCCTTCACAGAACCAGGCATGCTTTACGTCTAAATTGTCCTGTTCACTCACGGCGATTACGAGGCACAGTGTGAAAATTGCATCAACCTCCTCTCTTAATTTTATTCAAAAGATATTTGCATCAAAACAAACCTACCCAAAAGTGATCAGCAAACGATGTCATTTTGAAGTTTCTGTAGGTGTTACAGAGAAAATGGCGATTATTATGATTTGGGACGCATGCGCACTTCCGAGTTTCATATTCACACAAACGTTTTATTTTCAAGCATCAATCGGCAGGAAAGTTCAAGTCACGGGAGAATTTGAACTGATTTGTTTTAGGGATGAAAAAGAGACGCTCCCAAACATAATTTATTTAGTTTTATGTTGTCAACTGTTGTGTACACACAATAATAACTTTGAGCCGAATACTAAGGTATGTAAACTGTAAACAGAAACCTTTTTTTTTTAAATTTCAAACTAAGGCCTACTCAAGTCTGTTGCAAAAGTGGAAAGAATTTAACACGCAGGCCTAGAACACTAACTAAAGCAACTATAAATTTATTTTCACAAATTTTTAATTGAACATTTTATGATTTTTATACGAAAAAATGGACGAAGGATAGAAAAAAGCTCTTCAAAAAAAGTTAATACAGATGACAAATTCATACTCATGTTTGTAAACTCTTAATCATTGCAAATATTGCTTTTTTGGTCAACTAAATTTCACATTTATCTTAGAAGAAGCAGAAGGAAATGTGACATATTAATACACTATTGTATTGATAGACTAATTGGATTACGTCAATAAGTCTGTAACCTTCAGATTGAAGTTAAGATGATTTCAATTTCTATGAAGTGAGAAAACACTCAGAAAACAAATTAAACTGCTTTACAAGTATGGAATACTTGACCTATCTATAGAATATCTTTGTCTTGAGAGATGCAATAATATTTTATACAAATCTTCTTTAAGGCTTTTTTGAGCTGAAATTCAAGGAACTGAAAGAAACTGACAGCATACACTGAGGGGATCCACTTCACAAAAGCAGTTAGGAAAACAGATCTTTCAAGGTTTTGTATGCCTTGCCCCAAGTCTTGGGTTGATCAACTTGCATCATAAAGACGTCCAAGAAACAAGTTTGCTATATATACCCGAATGCCAGGTATCATCTTGAGCCCTGCTCAATGAAGCTTAAACCAAAAAAAAAAATCTCAATTTTACTGGACAACTTGAACAGACAAACTGCTATTTGCTAAATGACTCATTATTAATATGGTTAGCTGGCCATCTCTCAAGATTGAAAAAATAAAAGTCTTGTCCCTTGAATTAATGGTTCTGGGTGGACTAAGTTTGTCATTTGTGAAAATACAATTTTTTTTTACATTTTCAAAAATCTTTTTTATTTTATGGAAAGCTCAGGGGCAACCCCATTTGCATGACAGGGCCAGTTCAAGAGTGGCACTTAGTTGGTCATATATTGTAAACATTAAATCATTCTTTAATATCTAAAATGCAAGATATTTTGTGCAGGATTTATTTTGTTTCACTCTCAAGTCTGAAATTTATATATCAGAGATCATAACTCTGTCAAGTTAGGCTGCAAATAAAGATCACCTGAAGAAAAGTGTACCAGTAAAGATTGTAAATACAGTTTTTATCTTAACTTGTTAGCAAGGTGATAAAATGAACCTTATCAGGCCTACATTGAAAATGTATGGTGGACAGCATATTAGTAAACAAATCAAGGGTTACTCCAAGCTGGTATGTAAACTGCAAGCTCATTTGTTTTTCAAATTTTATAGCTCTTAATATTTGGCTGATTTTTTAATGCATTTGAAAGCCACTTTAAGTCTCATTTACAGTCTTTAAAAGTGCTTTTGACCTATTTACTGACTTTGAAAAGTATTGATAAGTATTTGCAAACAAACAACTATTATTTGGATTCATCAGCTCTGAATCATTTGTCTCAAAAATACTGTAGAAGTACTTTTTTCCACGTGATATTAATTTACGCTATGTACGCTGTCACAAATTTTCCGCGGAAATTTGTCCAAGTGTACAAAATGTAAATGTAAGGCATATGGACTGTGACAGTAAAATAAATACACATAATTTTCTACCCGTGGATAAACAAAAATTGAGATTCTGCAGAATTATGACCCCGTGGAAAAAGTACGTCTACAGTAATTGCAGGGTCAAGTGTCTTGTCTAATGAATTGAAAGCTAACAGCTATAGGACAGCTGAGGAAAAAAATGTAAAGGAAGAGTGAAAAATGCCTCTGACCAGACTGGGATTGGAAGCGGGTTTAGTCACATTTTTACCTCTCCTGTTACTGGAGTAACTTAAAGTCAACAATGCAAGACACAAACACGTGTTAAAGTTATTGCCAATAGCATCACAATTAAATTACTATCATTACATGGCAAATTCAAAATATTCAACATTAGTTCAAATTAATAAACATTTTAGAGTCATATATGCATGTTTCACAGTTGTAAAATTCACCTTCAATATCTTCAAGAATTCCAAATTCAAGAGTTTATATTCAACAAGTAATTTTTTACTTTAACCTCGGGCTTTTTTAGGTCACCTGAGTAACTCAGGTGACCTATTGCTATCCATTTTCGTCCGTCGTCGTGCGTCATCCGTCGTGTGTTAACATTTGAACATTTTCAGCTTCTTCTCTGAAACCACTGAGCCAATTTCAACCAAATTTGGTATACAGCATCTATGGGTGAAGGGAAACAAAAATTTTGAATTTCATGGTCCCCGTCCCCCTGGGGCTAGAGGGGTGGGGCCAAAGCCCCCAAAATTATTGCAATCTTTAAAAATCTTCTTCTTTACTCCTGGACATCAAGCAGGTAAACTGTTGGTATAAATGTAATGAGCATTGAGTCCTCTACCAAAATTATGAAATTCATGGCCCCAGGGTCAGGGGTTCTTGTGCTAGGGCGGGGCTGTATAGATTATATAGTGAAAATGCATTATTTCTTTTAAAATCTTCTTCTCTGCTCCTGGGTACAAAATAAACTAATTAAGTACATAGTTATGTTGCACAAAAGTGCTTCTTCCAAAACTGTGAATTTTATGGCCCCAGGGTTAGGGGCTCTGGTGTTAGGGCAGGACTCTATTGATCATAAAGTGAAAATGCATTAATTCTTTGAAAATCCTCTTCTCAGGTACTGGGTATTAAATAAACTAACTAAGCATTTATTTATGATGAGAAGGAATGCCTTTTCCAAAATTTTGAATTTTATGGCCCCAGGGTCAGGGGTTCTGGTGTTAGGGTGGGGCTCTTTTGATTATTAAGTAATGAAAATGCATTTATTCTTTGAAAATCTTTTTCTCTGAATTAATTTATTTATGATGAGCATTTTTCCAAAATTTTGAATTTTATGGCTCAGGGGTTCTGGTGTTAATTATTAAGTAATGAAAATGCATTTATTCTTTGAAAATCTTTCCCTTTGATCCTGGGTTTTATGCCAATGATCCAAGTATATTTATGATGAAGAAAGGTGCATCTAGCAAAATGGTTAATTTTTATGCCCCCTGGGTTGGGGGGGGGGGGGTTACATAGTCTGAAAATAAATAAATGCTTTGAAATCTGCTTTTTAGTATTAATCAACCATTTTATAATGAAATTTGCAAAATTTTGAAATATGTGGCCCCAGGGTCAGTGGCTCCTTTGGGGTGAGGTGTACAACTGGTTATAAAGTGTTAAAGTGCATTTTCTCTTTGTTACTCTGATCTACCTCTGGGTATGAAGTAAATAGAGTAAGCATGCTAAGTTTATAATTATGATAAGCCATGGTGCCTCTTTCAAAATTGTGAATTGCAAATTTAATGGCGGCTCTGGGGTAAAACACAAACCAATTTTAATTGCTTGAAAGTTGTTACACGATACTCAGGTGAGCTATAAGGCCCGTGGGCCTCTTGTTTTTAATGTAAATAAAAGTTTATTGTGATGATTTGAGGGACTGTAACATCCGTTTCAAAGGAGAGATAAGTAATGATGGCAATGTGGGAATCAGAAATTTCAGTTCGTTTTTAAAACAATGATTTTTAAATAGGCAGAGTTGTCTCCCTTTAACTGTATAAGATTGTGTTTACATACAGTATATCTGTCTGCATTCATTCCCTGCAGGTAAACTGCAATCTTCACAAGGTAAGAGAAAAATACATGTGGGGAATTGATGTTTTCTTTCTGACATAAAGAATCAAATTATTAAACAAGTGTATGTGAAATCTGCTGTTTTTAATTTACTAATAATATATTTCAGCTAAAATATAAAGCGGTTTTAAATTTCAGATGACTACTAAAACAATATAATTTTTAACACTGAAATTTTCTGCATTTTTTTTTTGGCACAAACACAGGCCTTTGGATAGCTTTAATCCAACTTTAAAAAACTAGGATGTATAAAAAAGATATTTTTTTTTAATACTGCAGTACATAAATTTCTTTGTAAGTGATCTACGGGCCTCTGGGTATATGATGTAGGAATTTGATGTATTTAGATGCTGGATTTATTTCTGTATTTCTTAAAACTGCAAGTCATTTAATGCATTTTTACTTTAATAGAAATTATTTTGAGCTGTTTTGTGACATAACTATTGTAAGTTCATTTATTTATAAGTACAATATATAGTTATATTTCTATGTTTTGTAAAATAACTTTTTTAAGACAAAAAGTTCAGAAGTTACATGTATATCTTTGATAAATTTGAACTGCTGCTAAAGAATGAAAAAAAAAAAAGACAAAAATTAAGAAAATTTTAACATGTACAGAAACTTTAATGAGTGTTAATTATTTTGATGGATTCAGGGCAGAGAGATGGAGAGAGAGATTATTTGACTGAAATTTGCTAATTTTGAGAGAGAGAGAGAGAAAGAGAGAAAGTGTGTACATGGACCTCCAGATATCTAGACGATTTTCCATTGAAACAGAATTTTTAAAAGTTATTTGAATTGTCTTATTTCACTGGTAATTCAGGTATCCGGACGCTTCACATTTCCAGACAAATTGATTGAGAACCAAAGCGAAATTAAATGAGATTCCACCGTACATGTATATTTATTTGACTGAAATTTGCTTATTTTTGACAGGGAAAGAGAGAGTATTTGACTGAAATTTGCTGATTTTTTGACAGTCTAATCTAAATAACATTGTTGATCTTAACTTGACTAGGTTAGCATTCTGACCCGTGCTCCATGCTTTTGTTAAATTGAATGACATTTGATCAAGAAATTTATCTGAAGCAGGTCATCGGATCTGTGTGTGTTTGTCTTATTAATGATAAATGAGGGGAAACACATAAGCTTAGTTTATTCTCTAATATACAGCCAATTCAAAATTTTAAAGCCTGGGGACAGATAACCTAGATATATACCCCCTCAGCTTAGTGACCTAAGCATGTGGACACTGCGCGAGTGTTTTCCAAACCCTAGAGGGACCGTTTATGTTTCAAAAAAAGTAAGACAATAAATAAAAGCCATGTTTTGTAATGTTTTAAGATTAATTCATTTGATGGGTTTTATAAACCTTCAGTCACATTAGAACAGTACCATTTGAGAACAAGTTAAACCAAAAAATATGATAATAATTTTGAAACACACATATAAAACGCTATCTGTCACTGTTTTCTTCAGTAAAAAAGTAAGTTGATTGATTTTGGAGAAATCATCATCAGGTGCCAGTAACAGACAATTTCCATCACTTAGGTGGTTAGATAGCTAAGAGAGTAAAGCTCCAGTTAAAATTTGGGTACTCTTTGGTGTTTTAATATAGCTCAGGTAGCAGAGCACCTGTCTATTATCTAGTATTCACTGGTTTTTGAAAGCTTAGGGAGTAGAGAACCTGTCTAGAATTTGGGTACTCTGGTGTTTATATAGCTCAGGTAGTAGAGCACCTGTCTAGAATTTGGGTACTCTCTGGTATTTATATACATGAAGCTCAGGCAGAAGACCACCTGTCTAGAATTTGGGTACTATCTACTCTGGTATTTATATAGCTCAGGTAGTAGAGCACCTGTCTAGAATTTGGGTACTCTCTGGTATTTATATACATG